TGGAGAAAATTGGATATCATTTTCGGATTCAGCGTACAGGAATTACCGTAGAACACGTAAAAATGTCAAGACAGGCCTGTGTTATTAAACACCCAGTTTCCCGTGACATTGTTGTTTGTTTTACAAGTTTGTTTGTGTGTTGTTAAGCATAAAGCTATACAAGGGGCTACTTGTGCCTTGCCCACCACGGGTATCGGGTATCGAAATACGGTTTTTAGTTTAATAAGCCTAACAGACTTACAGCTGTGCCACTGGAGGGCGTTTTACAAGTTTCTCATAGTTTATGGAGATTTTGTTTGCCTGTTTGTAGTTAAGCACAAAGCTACACAATAGACTATCTGTGCTGTGCCCACTACGGGATCCAAACCCGATTTCTAGCGTTATAAATCTGCAGATTTATTGCTGTGTCAGTGGGGACAATTTATGGAGAAAAATAATAAACATTCTATTTCTTGCCATATAAATAATTAGTAAATTAAATATAACTCTTGTTCTGTAAAAAATAAAATAAAATATTATTTCTTTTTTTTTACCTGTGCTAAAGTCAATGTTAAAATAATCTCTGGCTAATATCTCTACAATTTCATAGTGCAAATAGCCATTGATGTCGGAGTCCACGTCTTCAGCCTTGACCACCAGGGGAGTGGCGTATTTTGCAAAAACTAAGGCACCAATTTCTGCGGCCTCGCTTACTTCTCCATAATAATCCGATTCTAAAAACCTTGGCCGGTTGTCATTGTAATCCAATACGTGAATGATAACGGTACTGCATGAATTTTTGCCAGCGAGATTAGTAGCTTGAATTGTTAAGTTATAAAAGCTGTTTTTCTCGTAGTCTAACTCCGCCATCGTGAAAATTACCCCGGAATGAGGATTTACACCGAAACGTTTCTCTTCGTTTCCGGTTATAATTTTGTAGTAAACTGATGAACGACTCACAGCTGCCACCGTAATCACAACTGTTCCAATTTCAACATTTTCGTAAATTTCTTCTGACGTATCCCCCTTGGAAAACCTGGGTGCAGCATTATCGGCTAAAGTAACAACCACTCTGGCGTGAACCATTTTACTCAGAGAGGGGTTTCCGTTATCAGAAACTTTCACTGCCAGAAAGTATTCCGACATTGTCCGATGATTTAATTCTTTTGCTACCAACACTGTTCCAAGTCTCGGATCTACCTTAAAAGCATTTCCAATGTTACCTGCCAAGAAAAAAAAAAACAAAAAAAAACAGACAAGTTTTATATCAACTTCTTGGACACAAATTTACTGAATTATTTGAACGATGAACAACACATTCATCCATTCGTTTAGCTAAATATGAAATGTTTTTATGGAGTGACAAACCACTAGAATTATACTTAACAACTTTCTTGTTATCATTCTTAGTTCTAAGACTTGGCAAATTCCTAAAGTAAAAAAAAAAAATAATTAAATATTTGGAAAAAAGTATTTGTATTAAGCATCGAAGCTTTAAGTGAATATTCAACAATAAAATGAGATCATTATTTAATGGTAAAAATGTATGTATTAGGTCAACATTGGAGAAACGGATAACTAATACCGATGAACCCTAAATTCCATTTAAAATTTAAACTAAATTTCATTTATAAATACATAAAATTTAAACTAAAATCTTAAAAATATTTAAAACATGAATTGTTATATAACATATATTGCCAATGTGCACTTAAAATCTTGTATATATTTAAATATAATTAAAATACATATATTTACTTATTATCTTGCCCGGCATGGCCAGGTGGTTATGGCGCTCGACTCGCAATCTGCGGGTCGCGGGTTCGAATCCCTCGCCATTTTAACCGTGGGAGCGTTGTAATGGGACGGTCAATCCCACTATTCGTTGGTAAAGAGTAGCCCAAGAGTTGGCGGTGGGTGTCTTCCCTCTAGTTTTACACTGCTAAATTAGGGCCGGCTAGCGCAGATATCCCTCGTGTAGCTTTGCGCGAAATTCATAATAAACGAAACCAAACTTATTATCAATAATATTTATTATAGTTAGGCTTAACTTCTCAAAGCAAGCACGTGCCGCACTCGAGTAAATCTGGTGGATCGTAATGTGAGTTGTAAAAGTGTTCAATTAAAAAAATGTTGATATCTTGAAAAGGTAAATTTCCCATATTATGATTAGACGAATTAATAAATGGGCCTTTTTAAGAGCCAACGGAAAAACTCTTAATTTACGCCAAACGACTTTTTTATGTCATTCCAGGGGGAGCTCTACGTATACATGCCTGTACTGGTTGAGACTGATCTACAACTGTACGTGTGAAAGGAGGATACACAGGCTGTGAAATTGGGGCGAGGTCAAGTCTGAACGCTGACTCCCCCTATGACACTACAGGGTTGGCCCTAAAGGTGCAAGATAAGTCGGTTGAGATTAGTCAGAATTTCAGGTGTAAAAAGCCGACACCCAGTCGCAACTTCTGTTTAAATAACACACAGCGAAAACAGTATACCGCGAGGATGACACATAAATTTCAGCCCCTAACGCTAACACCTATGTCACTTTCTTTGGGGTCCTAAGGGTACATGCTATGTTTGGTGACAATCGGTCCAGTTGTTCTCCAGTAATAAGCGGACACACCCACACAGACCTTTGTCAAATGATGGTTTCAAAAAAAAAAAAGACCGGCTGACGCACCGTTCAATGAATGACAAAGACATAGGGTGTACCCCAGGGAGTAACATGGCGGAGCGCCAGATCCGAACTCCAACCCCCTTTACGTCACTCCCCTGGGTTCACTAAGTGTGCCTACAAAGTTTGGGTTTGGTAAGGATCAACAGAAGATGACGAGGAAAAATTAGGGGCCGACAAAGGATTCGAACGACGACCCTCACACCCGTGAAATTTACTATTGGCCCCTTAAGTCGGTGCCAAGTTTGGTTGAGAAACACACACATTTGAAACATTTCGTTCCCGTGGTTGTGTATGACATTATAGCCTGACACTTGGAAGACAATAATTGTTTGTGAATAATGACAGCCGTGTCGTAAAATAATTAAATCTAAAGCTTATGAATAAAAGAATGCTGAAGTTGGTCCCAAGTGAGAAAGACAGTTGTGTTCGCATGTCCTAAGTATCCTTACCTGTCACTCCTGTAGGTATTTGAAGGTCTCATTTTCCTAGTGCATTCCACGGACTTCTTAACCTCAAAAGTTCAACATGTTTAGTTAATGGTTGCCAATTAACTAAGAAAGTTGCTAAGATATTCGGGTTTGGGTTCTCACGATTTTATTGAAATTACTGTCACCTATTTAGGGAATCTTTTCAGAGCTAATGGATTTTTGTCTTGCAGTTACTTAAGAGTGATAAATTACAACGTGTAATTAGAGTTAGAAGCAATATCGTGTATTAAACAAGTTGACGTATGAAGAAATGAAACGTCGTAATCAGAATAAGAAAAAGAGATAAAAATACTAAAACACCCAAATATTGCTAGGTTATAACAAAAATATGTAAATAGCATCTTCAACTTGGATTTTTCGAGATACAATGACTAGTTATATATATATATATATGCAAGCGAGATTCGTGTCTATTGACATGTTTGTTTGTTTGTTTGTTGCTAAGCGCAAAACTACACAATCAGCTATCTGTGCTGTGCCCATCATGGGTATTGAAACCCGGTTTTTTAGCGTTATAAGCACTCAGACTTACAGCTGAGCCACTGGAGGCATCTGCATGACAGTTTTTATTGGTCGATTTCTTCTCATACGCCTCCAATTGGCACAGCGGTATGCCTGCGGAGTTACAACGGTACAAACCGGGTTTTGATACCAGTTGTGGGCCGAGCACAGACGGCCCATTGTGTAGCTTTGTGCTTAACCACAAAAAACAAAACCAAAACCTCTTTTTATATAAGTCAATTCATTAGAGAAGAAATACATAAAAATATTAAGCTTTCAATAATGATTTCTACTAACTACCCCCCCCCCACTCCTCCCGGATCCTTCACCAAGAGAAAAACTAAAAATAATCAAAAACTGGATGTCTCTTTCAAAAAAAAACAAACAAAAAAAAATTATGTTACTATGACAAGAGCGATTACATTCGTTTCGTATAAACCTATTATTTTGTCATTTTTCATTAACATGTTCCTATAACTTGTTCTTTTATAAATATCTGGTCGGCTATTTGACAAAACAATTTTGTTATTATTTTGTATTTTCTTCACCTAGCGCTTATTTTTGTGCGTTATTCAAACTTGAGTTAATAAATAGTAGAGAAATATTTTGTGTGTGTGTATGTGCAGATATTAGGGATCTCGAACAGATATTCATAGGAATGCATGGTGGTAATATGACACTTTGGAATAGGCTTAATTCATGTTCAAACACGAATTAGGCTTAGTTAACGTTTAGACACGAAGTTAGCTTAACTCATATTCAGGCATGGAGTTAGCTTATCTCACTTTGAAGAACCGAGTTACAGGAACTTGTATTTAGGTACAAATTAGGCTTAGTTAATGTTTAGACAAGAAGCAAGTTTAACTCACGTTCAGGAATGAAGAAAGCTTATCTCACTTTGAGGAACCGAGTTACAGGAACTTGTGTTTATGTGCAAATTAGGCTTAGTTAATGTTTGACAAGAAGCAAGTTTACTCACGTTCAGGAATGAAGAAAGCTTATACTC